TCCTCTGTGTCTATTAAAATGTGCATTTTGGTCTCAGCAGTTGGTGATGCGGTCAACAGGGTGGGAAGCAGATGGGCTGGAGAAGTGAAACAGATGGGGAGCATGGAATGCACAGAGCAGCCTCAGATTTTGTTTTTTTTTTTTTTTTCACTCTTTTTGAAAGATATTTTGTTTTGTTTTCTCATTACAAAATCAGTTTAAAAAAACAACAATACAGAAATGCATCACAAGAAAACTGGAGTTCCCTGTGATCCCATCATCCTTCCAGGAAAAAAAAAAAAATCCCAATTAACAGTTTGGGAGTGCTTTGTTCTGTGCAAACAAAAATGAGATGACATCAAACATTCTATTCTGCAAATTTGCCTTTTTTTTTTCCCTTTGGCAATATTTCTTGGGGATATTTATTTTTTTATGTCAGAACATAGATCTGCATCTTCCTTCTTCATGGGACAGCTGAATAAATTTTGAGCCTGCCTAAGCTACCAAGAGAGGCTAGCTCAGGAAGGGCAGCTACATTGCTCATTGTAAGAACTATTTACCTTCTCAGTCAAAATAATGCAGAGTTGCCCCTAAATATCAGTCATGATGCAGAGGGTCCGATGAAAGAGTGAGGTGTTCTAACATCTTCACATGCAAAATTTGCAGCAAGAGGACATGTGACCACACCTAATTCAATGCATTTTACAGCTCAAGTGACTAAGGCTCCAGAGCAGGAGGGATTGTCCAAGGTGTTAGTTGTTGAGCCTGGACTCGAACCTTGCACCCTACCTCTTTCTTTTCTTACAATTCCGCTGCCTCCCATAAGAGGTTTCTCTGCCTCTTAGCCACAAACACTCCACTCATATATTTCTCCCCTACGTATTCTGCCATATCCTCAAACCCTGAATGCTTCATTTTGGAACAGTAATGCCACAGAAGCCCTGTGGCATTTGGCATCAGTGGCTGGTCAGTTAATCAGAAAAAAAAAATTCAGTGCAGCTGGGAATTCGTTTAAAAAGTTCTATTTTAAAATTAATTACATGTATAATTGAAATCACTGCATTTCTGAGGCAGGACCCATTGATTCTTTCTTTCTCAAACCACACTCGTAATATACAACTGTATGATTTCCAATTGTGGCTTCTTTAAAACAGAGCCAATGGCAAAGTAATTTGGATACAAAAACCTAATTTTTTACTTCGACTTTCTCTTTAGTTGTTGCAATGCCTATTTGGCAGCATTTTCTAAAAGCAGCTTACCTTTATTAATTCCTTCCGAGGCATTCAACCTAGTGTTCATGGAAACTCTGTCCAGCCATATTCTATAAGTTTATGTAGTAGCGAACGGAATAGATAGCTACGGTAAAAATGCAACAGGCAAAAACAGTTTGGGAGCACACACACTGATGCTGGATGTGCATGCCGTCACCTGCTAGGGGCAGATGGGCCATGGAGAATTGCAGAGAGGTGGTCTGGCGGAGAGCATTCTGGTGCTGTGGGTATCCCTCAGTGTGTCTTACTGAGGGACAGTGTTGGTACATCCAGTGAGATGATTTGCTAAAAGCTGGTTACAAAGAGATTCCACTAAAATGGCCGTGTTTAAAACTGAGCACTTACTACGTGCCAGCCACTGTGCTAACCTTTCAATGGATTATCTCCTTGAATCCTCAAAATAATGACATAAGTTGTTTTTCCCCCTTTAAGTCTGAGAAAACTGAGAACCAGCAAGGCATCCTGCTTGGTGTAAAGTTACACAGCTAGTGAGTGTTGGACCAAGAGTTCTACCACATCAAGACCAATACAATTCTGAAGTCCATCCTCTTAACCACTTGATTATACTTAAGGGTTGTTTTCCCATGATAGCTGGTGATTTGTCCAAAGGTGGTCCAGTGCATGGGGAGAGAAGGGTTGGTGGCTCCACTGAGTGACCCTTCCTTGATCGCCCCATTCCCCGTCCCAGATTGCTGACTTGACCACTGAGCTGGCTGATGAGCGCTTCAAAGGTGATGTGGCCTGCCAGGTGCTGGAGAGTGAGCGGGCAGAGCGGCTACAGGCCTTCCGGGAGGTCCAGGAGCTCAAGGTGAGTGGTCAGGGGTGGCCAGGGGTGGCTGAACACGGTGGCTAAAAATGGTTGGGTCTGTCCCCCGACCCTCTCATTGGGGATCAGTATGCTTAAGCAAGATGCACAGATTGACTGACTGCTGGGCTCAAGGTCCTGGGGGACACTTAGGTCTCCTAAGGCTTGGCCTTGGGAGTGTTATGGGTGGATAGTCCCTGACTGGAGAGCCAAATAGGAGAGGATTGTGTAGAAGGTGGACAGTCTTTGGCCTTGGAGGTGATTTGGTGAGAAATGTGCCAAAGGTGGCTAGCTCATGGTCCTGGATTCTGCATGGCTCAGGGGACTGTGCAGAGGGTGGCCAATCCGAGCCTTGGAAGCACCATGGGTAAGATGACCAGCCCAGGTCTTCTGTCCAGCTCCAGTTTGGACCTTGAGCCATTTCTTCTAGAGCAAGCATGAACAAGTCCAGAAAAAATTGGGAGACGTGAATAAACAGCTGGAAGAAGCCCAGCAGAAAATTCAGCTGAATGACTTGGAAAGGAATCCTGCTGGAGGAGGTGAGCAGCCTGGGACCCTTGGGGCTGGAAGCTGACGGACAAAGTTGTCTTTTCCATTTATTCAGTCACTCATAGATAGAGCACTTTTTAGGTGCTAGACATCGCATGAGGGACTGCGACTCTGGCAGAGCAAACAGGCACAGTGTTACTCTCTTGGAACTTACAGTCTAATGGAATAAGCAGATATTGATCAGACAATCCAGCAATATCCTAGATAGCAAATTATCCATATGATATGTGCTGTTTAGTTTTAATGCAAGTGATGATTTTAAAATAGTAGCTTTTTAGGCAAGGTATGTTTATGTTTATGTGAATATTTTAAAAATAAATTTTCAGAGGCCTGGAGTGGTGGCTCACACCTGTAATCCTAGCACTTTGGGAAGCTGAAGTGGGAGGATCGCTTGAGCTCTGGAGTTCAAGACCAGCTTGGGCAACATAGTGAGACCCCATTTCTACAAAAAATTTTAAAATTTAGCCAGGTGTGGTGGCCTGCGCCTGAAGTCCCGGCTACTTGGGAGGCTGAGGTGGGACGATCGCTTAAGCCTGAGAGACCTAGGCTGCATTTCAGCCTGGGTGACAAAGCAAGAGACTGTCTCAAAAAAATACAAATAAAAACAGAATATAAATTTTGAGGAAGGCAGTCTAGTGGTTAAAAGTTGGAACCTATGAAGTTGTATTTCTGGATTTGGATTTTGGGGCAAAGAAATTGTGCCTCAGTTTCTTCCTCTTTCAAATGGAGGTTGGCTTAAATAATTGATAGAAAATGTTTAGCCACATGTATAGCATAGAGTGATGAATAGCTAATAGCTGCTTTACCATTATTATTATGAGGAATAATGAGATCATAGTCCATCCTTATAGCAACCTGCAGAACAGAAACTACAGCTCTCCCCATTTCACAGAGGGTAAAGCAGTGTCAGACACTCAACAGTTACTGAATGACGAGAAGGCAAGAGGACTCTTGGTTTTAACCAGGGATGTTATACATTTGTTCAGTCGTGCCAGGAGTTTCTGGGGGTGTCCTTCTTACACAGTTTCCTGGAGACTTTGTGATTGGATGGCCCGGTGACGTCTTTGCCAGCTTGTCACTGTGCCTCCCCAGCCTAATGGAGTTGGGTGAGAAGGATATCAAGTGTGTCAGCTTCTATAAAATGTCAGCATTATTCCCTCCGTGTGTCCAGGTAATTTGTGCCCTTGAAATGTCAGGGACACTCAGAGGAATGGAGATCAGGGGTCTGTGGAGAAGAGACAATGCGTATTTATTTTCTGTTGAATTCTTGTTCTTCTTCCATCCTGGCTACCCCCGTGGCAGGCATTTACCGGGGAGGTTAATACAGATGAGTTTGAGGCTCTCTTAAAAGCAAGACCCAACAAGGTAGGGTATACATAGGGAGAGGGGAACATGTTGGTATAGAATCAGTAGGGTGGGACAATCTCTGGCCTTGGAGGTAATTTCTAAAAAATCCCCAGAGGAACGCCAGTGTCAGTTCCATCTGCGTGAGATTCATGTCCAAATAATGCTTCCCAGTTTGTTTTCCTCTGTTAAGACTGGGGTGTTAATGAGAGGGGGACATGTGCTTAGCTCATGAGCACATTAGTCACAATGCTATGTGGGCTCTCAGCTCTGGATGCTCATTCCAAGAAGCCAACCCACAAATATTTTGTTTTTCATTATGAAAGTAATACATACTCATTATAGAAAATGTCTAAAATATAGGAAATTTGAAAGAAGCAGTAAAACATTTTAATCATATCATTGCAGTGGTACCACAGCCATCTCTATGGTTCAAGATGGAGTGTGAATTATTTAAAAAATATGTTTTCCTTTATGCATGGCTAAATATTTAAAGAGAACCTTTTATGATATGCACTCAGCACTGAGCTGGACACTGTGGGGGTTACAGAGGAATTTTAATTGGGCCCTGCTCTCAAGATATTTGCAAAATAAATGGGGAGATCAGGTAAACTCAGGAAAACACGTTGATTAAGGGTGGCACTCATGGGCAGGGAGATTGGAGGTAGAGATGAGCCTTGAAGAAGAACAGTTTCCCCTCTTGTTCGTGTTGCCCACTCATGCCACTTGCTCTATAGCACATCATGGCACAGAGTACATGGGAAGCTGCAGAAATGCTTTCTGCTGCTGCTGCTTACTTTTGCAGGCCATGCTGCTTGTGATTGTGAGGCTTTTCCTGGTGGAGAGATAGTGTGCTTTTCCCATCATGATGTTTTTATCTTGGTGGAAGCTTGAATAAGCTTTAACTCTTTATTATTATACCATCCTTCATTTGGTTAATGATGTAGAAATCTCTATGGAGGTCACCTCTTTCAAGAACTTAATCCTACCATCCATCTATCTATCCATCCATCCATCTATCCACCCATCCATCCATCTACCCATCCATCCATCTACCCATCTGCCCATCTACTCACCCACCTATCCATATACCCTACCATTTATTTATCTCTCAATCCATGCATTCATCCACTCATGCACCCACTTCTCTGTCTACAGTAACATCCATCCATCCATCCACTATTCCACCTACACAACCAACTATTTATCCATTAATCCTCCACCCTATCATCTAGTCAAACATCCTATCCATTCAATTATCCACCTTTCCAGTGGAAGTTGTCGAGCATTTACCAAATGCTAGGCATTATAGTATACTCTGGGAACACAATGATGAACAAAACAAGTTTGTTGTCTTATTAATTTGAGTTCTCTTCTTGATTTCTATAAGCTTCTTTATGAAAGCCCTGATCATACTAGGTTTCAGCTGTCTTTTTACTTGTTTCCCCTGCTTGATTATTCTGGAAGGTAGGTGGATATGGCTTCTTATTCATTTCACTATCCCTTGCATCTTGTACAAAGTAGTGTGCTCAATGAGTGTGTGAATGGATGGATGGAAGGACAGATGGATGGATGATAGGTGAATAAGTGGATGGTCTTTATCTTTGGTCATCCACTTGTGGAATGTTTTCCACAGCTTCATTAACTTAATGGGCATTATTCTATTATGCAGATAGTCAAAAGATAAGATGTATCAACCTAAAATAACCCATTCTAATCAGTCTAACAGTTTTAATCAAACCAGCCAATAATTTTTTTGAGATGTTTACCAAATCGAAGGATTTGGTGTCCATCTTATCTTGTGGAGACATCTTCTGACCAGTTTAGTAGTCTTGAATTATTGCTAATTTACTTATTTGTTAATTGGACCAACAGCCAATGATTATATACTCTGTACAACCCAATAAATTTGGCTAGTAGGATGACTCTTTTTACCTGATTATTGTATTAGGTTCATTAAGCAATCCATGAGCTTGTATCAACATGTATGGGAATCTGCTTGTAGGGAACTCTTCCAGAGGGTGTGAAGGACTCACAGATGACTGAAACAGCTCCCTTGCCCTTAAGGATTATGAAATTTCCTTGGAAAAGGGAAGATATGAATGTACTTATAGAGACAACTAAACAGTATAAGGCAACCAACCTTAGAAGAGTGAGCAGTCAAGAACTTTAGACAGTTGGAGGTGGTCAGGACAGGCTGCCTGAAGGAAGCATTATTTAAAACTCAGAGTTAAAGCATAGTTTCTTGGTCCAAGGTTGAAGCTCAGGGGCTCTGTGAATATTGTGAAATTGCATGCCAAAAGCCAAGAAAGTGGAGGAGAGCCACTCTCACTCTTGCCTTACACTCATTTGGCCTCTTATCATGGTCTCCCTGACTCTGTTAAACAGCAGACGAGTGGCAAATGCGCTTCGACTGTGCTCAGATGGAGAACGAGTTCCTCAGAAAGCGTCTGCAGCAATGCGAGGAGAGGCTGGACTCAGAGCTGACAGCCAGGAAAGAGCTGGAGCAAAAGGTAAGATGTGGGGATAGTCTGGGCCACAGAAGTGTCAGAGAGTGGGCAAGCTCTCACCTCTACTGTGGGTGATCGAGGTATTAGCTGACCCTGGGGAGGGAGGAAGAGGATACCGGCCACTTCAGGTTTCTCCATCTCCACTGTTATTACAAATGCTGGTCACTGGGAGACATGAAAAATATTGTCTGTACATGTGGATCTTCTATCCAGAGACTGCTCTGTGGTGTAAAGAACATGGATATTAACTCAGGATATCTGAGTTCCAGTTCCATTTCTACATGAACCCTGTGGAAGTCACTTTAACTCATGTTTCTTATCTATTACATAATTATCAGTGGTCTTAAAACTGTCACGTTTCCCTGTTGCCTCTGTTCTAATCTGCTACCTTCATCTCTCATCCAGACCAAAGCAACAACCTCCTAGCTGTCCTCCTTGCCTCTGGCCTCTCCTCTCAACCACCTGCCACACTGCAGCCAAGGAATGTTTCAGAGTCTCTTTCAGATTGTTCTGTGATCATAAAGCATGCTGACTCTCATGGTGGATTTTTTTCCTTGCATGTTTTGTAAATTTTGTTTTTGAGCTCATCTTCAACAGGTTTCTCTGCTCCTCCCGCAGTAGTCCCAGGTGTTCTGCATTGTGGAATGTTTTTTTTTTTGTTTCTCTCCCAGTGAATTTTTGTGTGTGTGTTTAGCTATTTTTTATCGTGAGTTAATCTTCAGCAGGAGATTTAATTTTTTTTAACATTCTATTGATTTTGATGGGAGCCCTTTGATAACAGGGTCGTGGGTGTGTTCTGCTAGAAGAAACCCTTTTTCACTTTCTTTGGCAGCAGTCCCTGAGATCATGCTAAATTCTTGGTCTCAGATTTTTTGCAGCGTGTAAAAATTGTCAGTTGGATCTCTAAACCCACATGAGGCTTAGACCTGGGGTTTAAAATTCTTATGAGAGTACTTCTTCCCCCACCTAGATCCAGGGTGAAAGCAAGCTTTCTTACCACCTTCCAGGCCAGGATGTGGAGCTTTTATTTTCTCTTCTCACTGAGGTGCATGCAGTTCTTTGAGGGGTTTATCAGTGCAACGGTCTTCATTCCAACTCTTCACCTTCCATGAGCCCAGAGCCTTGTCTTCTGTCTCTGTCTAGACATTGAAACACAAACCTCTATCCTAAAGGACATTTCTGGATCTATCAACTGTTCTTCCCCTTCATCTTCGCCGCCATAATATTAGTATGCACCATTATTGTTAGGGCTTTGCATCCTCTGCATTTCTGATATCCTGAAATGTCCTTCTTTCTTGAAGGTGACATTACAAATCTAATGCAATCTTATCTATATATATAATCTTATCTAGCCTTTCTAGATGAATGTACAGATAGTTTAGTCTCTTTGCTTGTCTTCTTTGGCCTCCAACTATCCCTCATCTACATTCTAACCAGTTCACACTCTAACAAATTGTGTGCTAGTAAATGACTCCGGAAAAAAGAAAAAGCCCTGATTTGTAGCACTTGCCAATTTCCCTGGTGTAAATACTCCCAGCATGGCCAATTTCAAACTACCATTGTGATGTCACTAACATGGAATTTGAAAGGGATGCACAGAATTGGCTCTGTGCATCTCTTTCAAATTGGTACCAGCCGACTCCAGCACAGCATTGATTCCAGCCACACTCCGTTTTTTTTTCTCCTTCCAAAAATGTCTGATTCTTTCTCACCTCTGGGACTTTGCATATGCTATTTCTTCTTCCCAGAGCAATCTTTCTTTTTCTCTCCTGCCTAGATATCTCCAACTATTCTTAAGATCTTAGCTTAAATGTCACTCTCTCCAGAAAGTCTTTGCTGACGCAGATTGAGTTGGGAGTCCCTGAGTTGTCTCCCAAAACATAGGCCTCATCATGCTGTACTGTAATTGCCTACGCACTTCATAGTCTCTCCCATTCGATATAAGAGCCATAGGGTGGAGGTTATATTTGTGTATCTATTCTATTCTCAACGTGAGCAAAAAGTATCATGTGATTGCCTTGCAGAGGTGGGCCTGGGTGAGATCACATGGGATTTTATAAACAATGGAAGTGACTCTTGGTATCCTTTATGCTGGTGGTGATGGTTTTAGTGGTCACTTTCAAGATGAACATTGCATCGTGGTCCTCAAGAGACACTTGAACCATAGATAAACACAGATGGACAACTGCAGGAAAGCAGCCCAGTTCTTTAATAACAAATTACAAAGTTGAGTCAGTTTCCCTAGGGAAGGGGGATATTTATGATACATTAAAAAGTAATAAAACTGCAACCTTTTCTGAGCGGCAGAATATAAGAAAACATCCCATTTGCCTTCAAATACTGGATTTAGAATTACAGGCTTCATTAACTCAGAGTTTTGCTTATTTAAAGCAATTCTGTAATGAGGCCATTTCTTCAAAGCCAGTGTGCTGAGTTGCATGCTCTGCTCTTTCCCAGACCTAAACTAGGACATTTGGGAGAGTGTTTCCTGGAGGAAGATGCAAGAGTCTTTATGTTTGTTTGTTTAAGGCCGTGTGCATTCAGGTGTTAATTCAGTCCATGCAAAGTACCATTTGCTGCTTTAACCTTTAAGGCTTGTCACTTGGGATTCCAGGTCAGATTTTTTAGGTGTGTCATTTTGGCTGCTCTGTGGCTAATCCTCACATATCCCTTCCGATCGTGTCGGCTGGTGGGGATATGAGTTATCTGGTGGCTCAGGGGGTCATCAAGTTGAGGCAGGGTAGGTAAAGTCTGTGGGAGCATTGGCTGGAGATTTAAAGTAAAATCAACCTTAAGAGAGTGATGGAATTATCCCCACTTTACCTCTGAGCAAACTAAGGCTCAGAAAAGTAGCATCCTGGAGGTGGCCCAGGAGGAAGGTAGTCAAGACAGGGTCTCCCCATTCCAGCATCTGCTGTTTTCTCATTACACACCTTGGAAATAGCAACTCCTTGAAATACAAAGTAAAAAGCGCATTCCATGCCCACAGAGCCAGGTAATTCATTCTATTACTCTTACAGCTCGGGGAGCTGCAAAGTGCTTATGATGGGGCCAAGAAGATGGCTCACCAACTGAAGAGGAAGTGCCACCATCTTACCTGTGACCTGGAGGACACCCGCGTCCTGCTAGAGAACCAACAAAGTCGAAACCATGAGCTGGAGAAGAAGCAGAAGAAGTGAGTTGCATCCCTCACCATCACCTGGGCTGCCAGGGTGGGCTACATTGGAGCTGGGGTCTTCTCGGGTATCCAGGTTCTCCTTCTAACTCCCTCACTTCAACTCTCTTGTTTTGCTCTAATCTTCCTCCCTGTCCCCTCACACCTTATTCCTGTATGGGTCTCCCAAGAATCCAGCAAGAAATGATTCTTTTCTCTTAGCCAGCCTCAGCTATGTTGCCAATTGACCGTGTGACCTTGGGGAGCTTTCTTTGCCTTTCTGGGCCTTAACATCCCCATTTGTCGAGCGAAGGGTTTGTTGAGGAGGGTCAAGACAGCATGGTGATTTGGAGCCCAGGTATTGATACTAAAGTCATCTCATTCAAGTCCTGAAGGTGCCTCTTTCTAGATGTGTGACCTTGAGCAGGTCATTCAGCCCTTCCCAGCCAAATTCCTTACCCGTAGGCTGGGGATAAGATCGCCCCCTTGTGGTGCGGACTGAATGATGCAGTCAGTACATCTAAGTGGACTGATCCTGGTTCCTATTTCCATTGGTGAAAATTGGGCTAGAGAATATGGCCAAAATATGGCCTTCTCATTTAGGATTTGGACTCTTAGATCATATGAGCCATTCTGGCAGAGACTGGGCCTTGTGCACCAGCAAGATGCTAATCTTGAATCTGCGCAGTGTGGTTCCCATACTTGCGTTCCCGTTGGGTTGCTGTTACAACGGAGTGATGGTGGAGCCTGGATTTGTATCCAGATTCGCACACTCATAGGCTTCTTCATGCAAAACCTCAGAACCTGTGATGCTTGGACACCTTGGCTGTGTCTGAAGTTCTCCAGCTCACTTGGTGAGGGTAAAGGTATACAGGGGTCCTGTTTTGAGCCAGCTAAGACCTAATGGGAGATGTCACAGAAGGCAAATAGGTGGGAAGCAGCCTCTTTTAGAAGGCCCATGACAAAATACAGACAAATGTTCCTGCGTGAGCCAAGACGTGATTTTGTGGAAACTGCCTCCTTTCCAAGAAGTAGGAAGCAGAATTATATTTCCATGGAGGTGGCATAGATTTTGAACTTGATCTGCGTTAAATATCATTTCTCTTATTTATCCTTCAGCTTTCCTGAGCTGGCTTCTTCATCTGAAAAAGGTCTTTGGGGGATCGTTAGCTTGCTCTCCACCCTCAAAATAAGAAAGGCTTATTTTGCGTTTATTGATATATCACTCTGTTCCCCTTTCCACCTCACCATGGGTGCTCTGGCTGAACCTTACCGTTGCAGTAGGGAAAATGGCTTGGCTCCATCTTGGCCACCTGCTGTGTGACCTTGGCAAATAACACCATCTCTCTGGGCCAGAGAGCGACTGATGTTTCAGATGAGTCCTTGGACTTAACAGGTCATCTGATCTTGAAGAATGGGTCTGACATATACCCCTGTCTGTGAAACAAGAGGTTTGGACTCCATCATTCCCCAGGTTTCTCCCCGCTGTAACCCTCTTGGCCCCTAATTATGGGTTCTACTCCTGTTCTGAAAGGCCTAACAGAGGGTTTCAGCCCTGGATGAGGGTTTCAGCCAGCCTCTGGAATTTGCACAGCCAGAAAATTCCATCTTTCTGGTCTTTCCTTTTCCCTTTGGACAGAATCCCTCATTACAGGGACTTATGAATCTCCCCAGGATACCCCCCCAAGGAAAGTTCCTATTTCTTCGTATTTGTATGTCCTCCTCTCAAAACTTAGCTTTCTTGTGATGCCCTCTGCTCTGTTACCATCTCTTGGCAGAAGCTAATTTATGTTTTGATGCCAACTGCAGATAGCAGGCATTACCTTTCCAGGTAGATTAGCGTTTATGTCTCAGTCTAACTGTGGAAGTTTGGGCAGAATGATTATGGTGAAGGAAAAATCTAGAAGTCAGTAAATACTTCCTTGCATCTCTCAATGCTTAATCGAAATGTAGATGCAGCTGCCTCCTGAGTTTCCTGGGCCCAGGACAGAGGGACGTCTCCCCATTGGTAGAGTTCTCTGTTTGCCACTTTGGCTTCTAAGTTCAGAGTGGCCTGGAATGGTTTCATTTTGGTTGGATTGTTTGTGGCATGATTACCCTATGGGTCACAAAGCTTGGTTCTGAGGGCTGATGAAACCCCAGGTAAGCCCTGGCTAGACTCACTGGCTCCCACGCTCAAGGGAGGCTGGACCCAAGGCCTTTTCTTAGCAGGGTGAAGATTGTGTGCAAATCTCTCTGGCCTCAGGTGATTGGCTGGTCAGTGTGAGCTGTTTGGTAGGAGTTGGGGTCTGTAGTAGCTACTCTTTGGCGTCAAGTGGCCTGTTAAGTCAAGGACTCCTCTGCACCATCAGTTACTGTCTGGCCCCCACTGTCTTCCCTTACCTGTCCCAGGAATGGACAGGTAGATGGGAGATTAGCTAAGACACTAGGGAAGCTGAGCCCAAATCCACTTCCACCACTTTGGAATTTGGGGCCGAATCACTCCTCCTCTCTGAACTTCAGTTTCCTCCTCGGTGAATGGGTTGAATGACATGTTTCTTGCTGAATTGTTGTAAAAACGACATGGATCCCAGCCCAGGATGTGGCACATTGGGACGGCTGGATCATCACGCTCATCACAATGCTTCCATTCAGAGGCAGCAAATAGTGCCCTTTGGATGATGTCACCAACAGCCAATCAGAAAGCTCCTGAGCTGTTCCAACAGGAGGGCTCCCTTATGATTGGGTCTCTCAGGAGTCTGAGACTTTGAGTGATAGTCTAATATTAAGGAACATTGGATAATCTTATAACAAGAGAGACTTTCTTGTCACCAAAGGCCAAACCCCATGCCCACTTCTGCCATATCAAGATCTCTGGAGCAATGGGACTTCCTGTTTGGGCCAAGGGCAAGTGACTCAAAGTCACACCTTACTGAGGCTTGGCAAGGGCTTCTCTATTGGTTTCCTCATCTGTGATACTGCCAGGAGGCTGAGACAACTGAACAGAGTGACGTAACATCCAGGAAGTGCTTTTCACCCAGTGGTCATCACAGAAGGGCAGGAGGGCCCCTAACAAGGCGTTAATTCCCTGGATGACATTCAGTAGGACTGACTAGGCTGTGTGTTTTCTGCTTGAGAAACAAATGAGGACAAGAATGTATAAATGTCCATCATTTTATCAATAATCAGCATGCTTTAGTGTGGCATAGGAGAGTATAAGCCAGACAATATGTTAAAATGTGAAATGTAGAATATCCTCATTCTACTTACATCCATTTGTTTGCTCACTGGTTAGGAAATAGTGGATGTCAAATGGGACCTGATAGATTTAAGGGGCCTTGACATAGACTGGCAGACCAGGTAGATCAGGTTTTTTGTTTTGTTTTGTTTTTCTGAGACAAGGTCTTGCTCTGTCACCCAGGCTGGAGTGCAGTGGCACAATCATGGCTCACTGCAGCCTTGACCTCCTGGGCTCAAGTGATCCTCCCACTTCAGCCTCCAGAGTAGCTGGGATTACAAGTGCATGCCACGATGCCCAGGTAATTTTAAATTTAAAATTTTTTTAATTTTAAAATTTTAAAAATAGAGATGGGGTCTCACTTTGTTGACCAGGCTGGTCTTTAACTCCTGGCCCCAAGTGATCCTCCTACCTCGGCCTCTCAAAATGTTGGGATTACAAGCATGAGCCACTGCGCCTGGCCATTTTTAAAAATATATCCTTTATATCTGTATATAGTTTTATTCTATTTTCATTTTTGTCCATTTATTTTTATTAGATTTTAGGGTTAGCATTTAGATTAGCATTTTAGTAGGGAGCTGATGAGGGCAGCAGAAGTTTCAGTCTAACGGTGGAAATTCAGTCAGAATGACTCTGGCGAGGGAGAAATCTAGAATAATGAGTTCAAGTATTTTTGTGGCAACTCTATCTAAACCCTAAACATTGCTCTGTGATTTTTCAGATTCCCATCCTACATCCACAGCCTTACGTAAAAGCATTGAGAAAAATTTCCAACTCCTCATTCTTTGTTTCTCTTTCTTCTTCCTTTCGCTCTCTTTCTCATGGTTCTTGGGAATCTAGTAGCCTCTCTGCAGCCCCTCCCTGCCCCTGCCTCAATCACTCCCCTACCCACCTGCCTACAGAGCCCTGACGCATGTTCTGCTTTGGACAGGTTTGACCTGCAGCTGGCCCAGGCCCTAGGTGAGTCTGTGTTTGAGAAGGGTCTCCGTGAGAAAGTGACCCAGGAGAACACCAGTGTCCGGTGGGAGCTAGGCCAGCTTCAGCAGCAGTTGAAGGTAAGGGATAGGGGACACAGAGCTGTTTTGGCTCTTGGTGGCTGAATCTCAGGAAACTCCAGCGCGCACCTGCTGCAAATGGTGACAGAAAGAAAACTTCACAAGGGTATCCTGGTCTGTCAAGCAGCTGGGTCCCAGGGTGTCTTAATAAAATAGCAAACAGTGGCTGGCAAATTGATAATCAGCCTTTATTTGAGCAATCTTGATGTCTTGATCTTGCTCCAGTTACCTGCACAGGTTCCGAGGTGCTTACCTGGGAGGTACGACAGGCTCAGCAGAGAATGAGTTAGCTATAACTTTGTCCAGGAGCAATGCCCTGGTCCATGCAGGCTCCAGTGCAGAGAGATTTTACTAAAATACAGCACGGGTGCCTCACTCAGCTGCTCCTCATCCTTTTGTGGTTCTCTACTACTCGCAGGAGAACCTCTGGGCACTTTAGCCTGGTACTCAGCTCCTTCATGATCTAGCCAAGAGTTATTTGATCCTGGAGCTGACTTTCTAACCTGGAAGAGTCATTTCTGAGCACTTTGCCTCCCTGCTCCAACATCTCAATCCAGCCTCAGAAGGCACACAGGGAAGCTTTAGCGATGTGCCTCCACTTCCCTTATAAATGGGGTCAACCCTTCTTGTAGGTGCTCTGAGATTGAACTCTAGGGACAGTCTACTCCAATCCCACCTCCCATCCCCAGCTCCATGCCTGTAGGAGCAGTACTGAGAGCAGCCCTTGCTGGTGTCCCACTGGGGGCGCTGTGAGGGGCCGTGCGGTCCAGGTGGAGACGGCAGGCACTGGAAAGTGGAAAGCACCACTCCAGCCCCAGTTGACTGTAGAGGTATCTCTGGAGGAGGAGGGAGACATACTCATGTGACTCCGGACCTCTGTCCTCTTTGTCTCTGTAGCAAAAGGAGCAGGAAGCCTCGCAGCTGAAGCAGGAGGTGGAGATGCTACAGGACCATAAACGGGAGCTGCTAGGGTCACCCTCTCTGGGGGAAAATTGCGTTGCTAGCTTGAAGGAGAGGCTCTGGAAGTTGGAATCCAGTGCCGTGGAGCAACAGAAAGTCCAGAGCCAGCAGGAAAACACCATCAAGCAGCTGGAGCAGGTAGGAAAGCCCTGTCCCAGGGCAACACCCTGTTCCATGTCTCCAATGCAGAATGATGTTATTAAAATACGACATGGGTGCCTCACTTGACTGCTCCTCATCCTTCAGTGGCTCCCTTTTATCCCAGGGAACTTTTAAGCTCCTAAGGCTGACATTCAGATCCTTCCTGATCCAGTTTTCTCCTGCAAGGTTCAGTGTCACCTCCTCAGAGAAGCCTGCCTTAATCACCTTGCAAATAGCTCCCACTGTGTTACATTCATTTCCTGTCTCCTTAGCTGGGTTGCTTTCCTTTGTGGTACCTGCCATCATATTAGATAGTATTTTTTTAAAAGTTTGCTTTATGCCTTTCACTCTCATTAGGATATAAGCTTCCTGAAGTCAAATTGTTTTTCTGTTTCTCTGGCTTCTTACTGTAATCCTAGAGCCTAGAATGAGGCCAGGTACGTAGTTGATGCTCAATAAATTGCTGTTGACCAAATATCTAACCTTCATTGAGTACTGTCTGTGTACTAACCTCAGCCCTAAGCTCTCCCCACACATCTCATGAATCTCCCCAAGAACTTTATGTAGGGAGATCTTAGTATTATCCCCACTTCAGAAGTGGAAGTTGAGACTCAGAGACATGGAGAAAGTGTCAAGGATGGGATTTGGAACCTATGCCATCTGACCCCACACCGCCTTGAATGTCTGCTATGTGCCAGGCATTGTACACAACTTCAAGGCAGATTGAAGTGCTACTCTTTGGGAAAAATAAAATAATAAAATAACAAAGGGAGTAAGACAAAAATATAAAATACTTTGTACCAACACCCTCTGCAAAGTACCAGATGAATATTTTATTTGTCTGCTTGCTTATTTATATGCTTGTTTATTTACCTCATTCTATAAATAATTTGAGGCAGCTTACAAGGTATACGTATAATAGAATACAAAAATTATAAGTAAAACAATCCAAACCAGAAAAGTACAAATTAAAATTGACACTAAGGGGGGCGGTGGGGGCAGCAAATTAATATGCAGATAAAGCAAAACAGATGGTCTTACACATGTAACAGTTTTAGCTCTACAATTCCTGGTGGTCAGAGAGAAACAGGAAATGTGAGTTACATGCCTGAGATAAACAAACAAACAAACAAAATTTTTCTGGGGGAAGTAACGCTTTTTCTGATGCTTGGCTCTAAACGAATTTCTCTTGTGGGATTTTGTAAAAGGCAATTACTTTAAAGTGTTTTTTAAAAAAATGCTGGGGCCACCCTTATGCGAGAAAATGTGATCGGGTGTCGTGAATGTGTAAGCAGATGAACTCTGAGCAGCTCTGTTGAACTGAAGTGGGGATGGGTGGGACAGGGGTTGGGGGAGCCAGGGGTCAGCTCTTGCTTCTTGCTGACCACTACTCCATCAAGATGGAGCCTGGTGAGTATCAAGACATGTGGGTGATGGGTATGGGGGAACACGATCCGGAAAGTCTTGGATGCTCACTAAGGAGCCCTTATCGCTGACAAGTCCTTTACTCAGTCAGCCTGTATTCATTAAGTACTTCCTCTGCATCACGCACTCTGTGGATGCTAAGGGTGCAGTTGCAAATAAGACAGACACAATCTCTGCCCTCCCAAAGTTTATAGTCATGCTTAGTGTTAGAGGAATGTTAAACTTGAAGATCTGGCCATGACAGCAGGGTTGAGGGAGAGATCAGGGAAAAATTCCTAGAGGAAGTGACGTTTACTGAAGTGGGAAGCTGAAGGATGAATGAGAATTGGCTGAATGAGAGAGTTCCGGGCAGAGGACCAGCCTGTGCAAAAGCCTGGAGACAGGATACCCGTAGGATATTCAAGGAGCTGTAATACGGGGTCTTTGAGGCAGCTTGTTGCCTATATGACCTTAGGCAACCCCTGTTTCCTCCAGACATCAGTCTCCTTGTCTGTACAATCAAATATGGAGCCTTATCTCTCCCCTAGCTTCCTGCCAGCCACAGCTATGAATCAGTGAAGGTTTGTGAAGAAGGTGGAATATCTGTGTAGGTCTTTAAAGGGCATGGATGACGGTGCAGTGCCATGTAGCCACCCAGTGTTCCTTGTGTTCCTTACATGAACAGGATCTTCCCAGAGCCAAGAATAAAACAAGCCCTTTTGAAAAACTGTGTTAACTCTTTAAGATACCACTGGGGAACCACTTGATGCTTGGAAGCAAAAAATATATTACCCTGGCCTCA